CCTGCATCAAGTTTTCTTCTCTTCTAGATCTTTCCCTTCTGGTTTCGGGTGTAGCATATAAGGAGCTTAGAAGTCATCACTCCTGTCTTCACAACAATAAAAAACAAAATAAACTGAAAAAAAAGTTGAAATAACAGGGCACAATTCTCTTCCCCAAATTGGAGAGACAAATGGGTAAAGACAGAAAATCACAACTTACTGGAATAGAAGCCCAGGGGCAGAAAACTTCTCAAGTACAAGTACTGGGGAACAAAAAACCTAAACTGTAAGAGATGAGTTGCTGGAGGCTCAGTGTGGACAAGTTTGAAAGTTCAAATACTCCAGGGCCGGTAGCCAGTCTTAATGGATTTTACCTCCACTTTCTTGAGTTTTACCTCCAGGAACCCTACCAGGTTCTCAGGGTGAAGATAGGCAAAAAAAAATATCCTCATGCTTCTGGCAAGAGGAGGGGGAAAACAGCCATTGCAAAATATGCCAGAATATCTAGTTCTTCTTAACAAAGCCTGCTCTCAAGGGAAGCTATGTTACCAGAGCCTAACTGACTGGGTTTTACCAGAGGCTAATCATAGGGGAAGGAATACCAACTTCAGCCCCGTCTTGCCAGCTAAAGCAGGAAAAACCTGAGAAGCATTCATGAAAGGCACAGCCCAGGAGCACCGACTCACTAGAAGTCTAAGACCTAATCACAGGCCTAGAGAATTCTTCGCCTCTCTCCACACCTTACCGCTATATCAACAGGACTTCTGTAAGATAATAAGGGAGTACAACAGAAAGAGCCGTATGTTATTTCTGAGACCACCCAAGAAGTCTCTAGGGAAACTCAAAGATAACCGCTGAGGCAAAAACAAGGACACAGCGGAAATTTTTCTCTCTTTTTCCCACAGCTACAACAAACAGAAAACACAGCCTAACTTCTAACTAGATAAATCTGAAACTTTGGCCAGGCGTGGTGGCTCACGCCTATAATCCAAGCACTTTGGAGGCCAAGGCAGGCGGATCACCTGAGGTCGGGAGTTCAAGACCAGCCTGACCAACATGGTGAAACCCCGTCTTTATTAAAAAATAATTCCTTAATATCAACTAATATTAGGAATTAAATAAAGGACATCATTACAGATCCTACAGACACTGAAAGAATAATATGAACAACTTTATCCCAAGAAATTTGGCAGCTTAGATGAATAGAAAAATTTCTCAAAGCATACAACTTACAAAAACAGAAAAAGAAATAGAAAATCTATACAACATCATATATATATATATATATAT